GTTAAAGAGCCAAATAAATCCTAAGCTCAAATGTTTTCTTTGTAAAAAAAAAATTCACATTTCAATTACTTTAAACAAACATGTCAAAGGAAACAAATGAGTGAAAAAGAAATAAGAGGTCCTAATAATAAAACAAAGTAAAGGGTTGTTATCCGCTAGCATTGAAGTGAATATAGGGTTGTTAAGAGTATCCCAAACCCAAAAACTAAAAATGGTGTAGTTTTTACACCAAGTTGGTGTATTTTGTACACAAAATCACTATTCCATCTCCAACCTATTTACACCAAAAAAATATTCCTTTTATTATTATTATCTTTTAACATTTTTATCTATTTAAAATATTTAACAAATTATATAATTATGAAATTTTAAGTGTAAGTTTTTCTTATTTATTCATTTGGTTCTAGTATTATGAAATTTTAATTGTTTGGATTAAATTATCTATTTTTCCTTTTTAATTTTATTTTAATAATTATTTTATACTCTAATTTCATTCTAATAGTTAATATAAAATAATATATATTATTAATACAAATATAAAAAACAAAAGCAAAAAAATAAAAAAACTAAATAGAATAAAATAGGAAATATGATGGATAAAATGAGATATGGTTGGAATATTTGATTTGTTATAACAAATTTTAAGGGCAAATTTTTTTTTTTTTTGGGTGGGGGGGCCTCAATATCTACAGTGTTGCGTCATTCCTGGCGCAACACTGTAGCAACGCTTTAAAATAGCGCTAACTTTGCCGCTCGGTTGGAGGAAGTTTTGGCGAAAAATTTACGCCAAGACGTTGGGTTGGAGATGCTCTAATAGGTCCTTTGATGATGGAAAAGACTAAATCGCAAGAAAAAAAGGCACCTATAGAGAGAGAATTTACATTCTAATTCTAGATCAAACTTTGTTATCAAAACTAGAATTTGGTATGATAAGTTAAAGTTATTAATGGACTGAAAGCTACAGATTGTGACTTGTGAACCATGACTAGGTCTTGAGACTGGCAGCATAGAACAACAGAGCTTTGAGAGGTTAATGTTCATTCAAAGTTTTGAAAATTACAAATTACGAAAATTTAAAAAGTAAATATGTAAACTCAACTCTATTTACCCACATACAAACAACTCTAAACGCATATTATTTCGGAGTATATTTTCTAATCTCTCTAGAAATTTGCGAGTTTATATTGGATATATTGAGAACTAGTCTCGTGCCAAAACAAGCAAAAATTATTTGAGTGATTATTTTTAGATATGTAAGCTATCATTTTTCCTTGTTATGATAAAAAGCATAAAAGCTGCAAAAAGTTGGAGAATCATTTTGTAAAATATAGCGAAATTATGAGAAAGCATCTTTCTTTATGCAAACGAGACGTTCAAAACTTTTGAAAAGAATAGAGCATCACACCCCACCTAAATGAAAATCATTCTTTTTCTCTCTATAAAAGTACATAATTCCAAATATTTTTTGCATTTCCCCCTAAAAATTTAGACATTGAGATCATGTTTGACTCTTTTATTAAACCCATGTTCGACCAAGTGCAATGGCTAACAATTGGGACAATTATTTGGTTCAATGGCTAAGCAAGTGGATAGGCAAATGAAAAGTAGGGGAGAAAAAATGCAAATTTTGCCTACCGGTTAAATTTTACCAAGGGCCCCGCATGTCAGAAGATGGTTGAGTGATGTGGAGGAAAGATAAAGTGAAAAACTTTTGAAAAACTAGTTGTTGTGGAGTTGAAAAACAATTGGAAAAGACAAGTGATATGGAGGAAAAATAAAGTGAGATATAAGGAGAGAGAAAGTTAATATTTATCTTGCCATTAAAGATGGTCTTACAATAATACGGAAATAAATGGTCCATCTAAACCTGACAGCTACAATAAAACATTTGGCTCCTCCCAAGATGTCAACTCGGTTTTTTATTTGCCACGTAAGATTCCACTTTGTCCAAACAAACATTATTTTTGATGTAATAATGTGCAAACCTGATAAGTACAGTATTAAAACGGCCCCAACCAAGCGGACGCTAAAGTAATTGTCGGTAATAAGAAAAAAAAGAAGCGAGAAAATACCACCAGGGGCAATTCCGTCCATCAAAAAGATTAAGATGGCGCGAAAAGCAACGAATCATTGAGGACGCGGGCCCCAACTGCAGATCTTGACACGGACACTCCTCACAGAAAGCACAGAGTTCCAATTCACAAACCCTAAAAATTTCATCTTTAAATCCCCACCAAAATAATTAAATTGACTCTACGGAGAATAATCATTAATCACGAGTTAATTAATTAATGAAGAATCTGGATTCCCATCTCACCTTCCCAAAGCACAAAGTGACGCTGCTGACTCCAAGAAACAGAACGAATAAAGGCGAGTTTTTTTTTTTAAATAACAATACAGGCACACCCTTCCACCACACCTTGGGCACACCCCTCTCACAGCTACAGTGCACAGGGCCCACTTTAGATTTTTTTAAAAATCTAAAATGGGTTCTGTGCACTGTAGCTGTGAGAGGGGTGTGCCCCAAGGTGTGGTGGAAGGATGTCCATGTAGTACCACTCTTTTTTTTATCTCGTTTTTAACGGCGAGCATTAAAAATCAAAAACCCTAGTTTATTTTTTTAAAAGATTCCAAATAAACCCACGAGAGATTTCATCTTGTGTTGTCTGCGTGCGACGTAAAGTTTTCGTTTATTTGTCTCCTTCCCCCGTTTCCAGCTCGATTGCTGTTGATATCTTGTCCATTTGTTTCGTCTACAGAACCCGTGAACTGAGAGAGAAAGAAGAAACAAAACCCTAACCTTTTAGGGTTCTTTTTTTTTTCTCTTCTTCTTTTTTGGATGAAGAGAATGGGGAGATGCAAAAAGCAACTCACTTGGGTTTGTTAGTGTAGCTGCATTTCTCAAAGGCTTGGTATTTGGCTGAAATTCTTGAAAAAGAATTCATTTTGGCGCAATATTGTTAATAGAAGGTATGTTTCCAAGGATCTTTGTTAATTTTTGAGTTCGGCTTCTGCTCAATTGTCAGAAAAGTTTGGGTTTTGATGAGAAATTCTAAAGAGAAGATTTTCCACTCTTTATTTAAACTCAATTTCAGGTTAACGTAAAGGAGATATTTTTAATTACTAGAGCTTACTAAATACAAGTTCTTTCTGAAACAGCCCTCATTTTTTGTTGAGAAAATGAAACTGCCCTTCTTCTTTTTTGGTTAAAGCAGTCGTTATGTAAGAATTAAATGAAACTGTTATATTCTGTTCTAAATATAGAAAAACAAATCTTAAACTCTCACATTTCTCTCCTGCTTCTTTGCACAAAAGGAGTTATTTTCTCTTATCTCTGTCTCTTCTAATTTCTATTTTTACCTTCTTATTTTTTTTTTCGACAGAGAGTCAGAGATTGCTAAAGAGAAATTGCCTGCAAACATGAGGAGCCCCTGTTCTTGTTTCCTAATCTTATGCTTACTAATGATTTTAGCCCCATATACAACCCAACTTCAATCCTCACAAGCTTGGTCCCTACTCAGAATACAGCGCTTGTTAAACTACCCATCGTTTCTAAGCAGTTGGAATAAGTCCCCAGACTTCTGCATCTCTGAGCCCAATCCATTTGTAACTATAGTTTGCTATGACGATAGCATCACCCAACTTCAAATTTCAGGGAACTCCACTCCGCCGCCACTTCCGCAGAGTTTCTCCATCGACTCCTTCTTCACTACCCTCACAAGACTTCCGAACTTGAAAGTCCTCTCCTTGACAAATCTCGGATTGTGGGGGGCCTTACCGAGCAAAATATCGCGGTTATCTTCCTTAGAAATTGTTAACATGAGCTCCAATTTCTTGTATGGACCAATTCCTCATGAAGTTTCCAACTTGAAGAGCCTCCAGACTCTGATTCTTGATCATAACATGTTTGCTGGTAGGGTTCCTGATTGGTTGGGTGGTCTTTCGCTTCTAGCGGTTGTTAGCATGAAGAACAATACGCTTAATGGGTCGTTGCCAGATTCACTTAAGAATTTGGAGTCACTCAGAGTTCTTGATCTCTCACTGAATAATTTCTCTGGGCCTTTACCGGATCTCAGTGGGCTGACGAATCTTCAAGTTCTTGATTTGGAGGGAAATTATTTGGGGCCTCAGTTTCCGATGTTGGGGAAAAAAGTGGTGATTCTTGATTTGAGAAGGAATAGATTTACTGGTGGGCTTCCTTCAGATTTGAGCTCCTATTATCATCTCAAGAAGTTCGATGTTTCTTTGAATAGTTTCGTAGGGCCTTTTATGCCCGCTTTGTTATCTCTTCCATTGATTCGGTATTTAGACATTGCCGGAAATAGATTTACAGGGATGCTATTTCAAAATATGTCGTGTAATGAGCAGCTTGAGTATGTGGATTTGTCAGCAAATCTTTTGACTGGAAACTTGCCAACATGTTTGATTTCAGATCCTAAGAGTAAAGTTGTTTCATATTCTGCAAATTGTTTAGCTTCGAACGATCGAAGTCAGCATCCAAACTCATTCTGTCAGACCCAAGCTTTGGCTGTGGGGATTTTGCCTGACAAACAAAAGAAGGCTTCATCTCATAAGGTGATTATTGCGATTAGTGTAGTGGCAGCGGTTGTTGTGGCCTCTTCGCTTGTGGCTTTATTGTTCTTTTTCGTGTTTAGAAGGTCGAGCGCTAGGAGGGCAGCAACAACAAAACCTCCAAGGAGATTGATTGAGCATGCATCTAATGGATACCCTTCGAAGATGTTGGCTGATGCAAGTAATTTCTCTCCCTCTCTTACTCTTTGTATACCCGCACTAAGAAATACATTGATGAAAATATTGTTTTATGCTAAACTGTTAAGAGTACTGATTTGTTATTCTGCTAGAGTACTGATTCGTTATTCTGCTAGAGTACTGATTCTGTTACTCTGCCATCCTTTTCTCCTCAAAGGATACATATCACAAACAATGAAGCTAGGAGCACTTGGTGTTCCTTCATACAGGTCATTTTCTTTGGAGGAGCTCGAAGCAGCGACAAACAATTTCAATTCATCAACTTTCATGGGTGAAGGATCTCATGGTCAGGTATATATGAATTGTGATACTAATTCTCATTTTCTTGACTTAAAAATGATTTACCAGTAGAACTTCTAAGGAGAATTTTTGTTTCTCATAAAGTAATGAGAATGCCTCGTTTACGTGTTTTATATCAAATGTATATGAACATTAAGGATCAATTAGCATGTACTAGTTCTGAAAAATCTATTTGCTTCCATGATGTATTGGCAACATTTCTTTCTTGAAATTAGTTTTCCCTCTCTAAATGGCAATAAATTAGGAGTTGTATATGCCTTTGTCACTGAATCTCAATAGTAACTTAATAGAGGTTAGTCTGCTTGAAGCTTTTCACCTGTGTTTTCCTTCTTTAATTGGAAACTTCTATTGTTTTTTACTATCAGATGTACAGAGGAAGGCTTAAAGATGGTTCTCTGGTTGCAATAAGATGCCTGAAACTAAAAAAGAGCCACAGTTCCCAAAACTTCAATCGCCACATTGAATTGATCTCAAAGCTTAGATATCGGCATTTAGTCAGTGCTCTTGGCCACTGCTTTGAGTACTACCTTGATGATTCAACCGTTAGCAGATTATTTCTCATCTTCGAATATGTGTCAAACGGGACACTAAGAAGCAATATTTCAGGTAAGTGAATTGATGTCTGAACTCGCTTTTACTTTCTTAAGTCGTTTGCTTCAATAAACTCTTCTTTCATATTGATTTCTAGAGGAAGGAGGAGGACAAAAGCTCACATGGACACAGAGAATAGCTGCTGCCATTGGAGTGGCAAAGGGCGTCCAGTTTTTGCATGCTGGAATTATACCTGGTTTATTTGCAAATGATCTGAAAACAACAAATATACTCCTTGATCAGAATCTGGTTGCAAAAATCAGCAGCTATAATTTGCCTGTGCTAGCAGAGAATATGAAAAATGAGGTGAATAAACGTTTGTTAATTGTTAGAGTTCCGCTAGACTTTTTCCTATTGGATAGTCAATCGGATTAACATATTTTATCTAAGAATCTAGTTTTATGAATCCATGCAGGTGATAGGTGGAAGTTCTTCAAATGGTTCGAAGATGTCCAATGAGAGGTGTGTTGTGAATGTCAGGTTGATTGCATGTTGGCCGAAGCCCAATTCATAAATCTGATTTAGTAAAATTCGAAATAGATAAGATTATAACATATTCCATCTCAATAAGTAAAACAAAATTATGTGCATCCATGATCTACGTCAAAAATATACACTGTGATGTAGAATTGCAAACAAGTGAAACAAGACGTGGAAATTATCCTTGGGAGTGTAAGAAATTGAATTGCAAGCATTTGAAAGTATCCTAGGAACATCCTTTTGCAAACCAATGGTATGCTTAAAAAGTTGCATATTTGTAGTGCATATTGAACACTTTCCACAAGGATTTAGTTTCTGCACTATGCTGCTAAAGCATATAAATGAATATCTTTAAAATACAATTTGCAGTCTGTTGTGTTATATCGTTACACATAACTTCATCTGTAAATGTGCTGAGGTCATTTTCCCATTGAATTACTTAATAGTGCATATAAGATTGATTTCTTTTGCAGGATAAAACATGGGGATAAAGTTGACATCTATGACTTTGGTGTCATATTATTGGAAATGATATCTGGGAGATCAATATCATCTCAAGCTGATGTTGAAACGGTAAAAGATCAGGTATATCGGCATGGAACAATTTTATTATGTACATTATTTCCTTGTGGAAGAAATTACGTCATCTTGATTAATCCCCCATCTTTTAATCAGAGAATTTATGTGTGCATTTTTTGTTGTTTTGGCTATATGCAGCTACAAGCAAGCACCACATTCGATGGTAGTGCTAGCAAGAAAAACATAGTAGATCCAGTAGTCCGACGGGGTTGCTGTCATGAGTCACTGAAGACCGTTATTGAAATTTGTTTCCGTTGCTTATCCAAGCAGCCGATCAATAGACCTTCAGTCGAAGATGTGCTGTGGAACTTGCAGTTCGCTGCTCAGGTACAAGAGGCATGGAGAGGAGATAATCATAGCAGTGAAGGCTCGTCAGTGGCCCCTTCTCCTATCAACTAGAATGCATAAATGATTATGACGAGATATGTCATTCGGCTCCGAATCTTTGAATGTCTGTGCATCCTCAAGATGTTGCGGTTTCTTGATTTGTCGGGACTGAACTCGGATTTGTAATGTAATTATGTAAAAATGGCCTTGTAAAACTAGTGCAAGTCATAAATGTAAGCTTCTTTTGAATCTTTAATTCTATTGCCTTTGTTAGTGGATTTAAAGCTTGCAATATTTCATCGTTTTGGATGAGCGATGGTGTTCTTCAGGTGGTATTCTACTCCCACCTGACTGTAAGGAATGAACGTCGTAGTTCTCAACCGTATGTTCAGTATATACATGAAAGTAATGGATGAACACTTCAAAATGATGAGGCACAGTGCACGAGGATTTGCTTGTGTATTATAGTGACTAAGGTTAAAATAGTAAATTCCATCAGCATGCTCGTTTAATGGAATTTCAACTTTTATCCGCATGCCATCGGTGCAGCAGCATGATGCTTTACTTATGCTTGCATCGTGATGGGGTATAATTTCAACCTAGGATATGGTAGTTCAAACGTACAATATCAGTTATTTATCAGTGCAGCGACACGCTGCTTTACTTGTGCTTGTATTGCTAAAATCTTGAAATTTCTATGGACTTACAGCAGAAAACACAGTCTCTACTCTACTAGCAGCACATACTAACCTTCTTATTGGAAAAGTTCATCATTCACAATCTAGCAAGATACTCACCAAATGAAGTAACTGACTTTAAGCATTGACCATACTTCAAGGGTAGGCGCACAATCTCTACTCTGCTAGTAGTAACACTACCCTTCCGATTGAAAAAGTTCATGATGATACTTGCCAAATTAAGTAATTGATTTAAAGCATCGACTATACTTCAAGGGTAGGCTCAGAAAAGCAGTAGCAACTTTTGCAGCAACACGAATTCTGATGCATTCACAATCGGGAAAGTGAAATTTCAAATAGTTGCTGAATAATAACTAATTGCCAAGAAACTGAATCTTAAATAATAGTACCACTTGTCCTGTTTAATATCCAGTGACACGCCAAGCACAAATCACTCATATTGCCCACGTCCTAAGTTACCGAACTGAGACAACAGACATATGACGTTACAGCATTCTGGACAATTTTAACCTTCTTGCTTCGCGCCAAGAAAGATTTACATCCTAGACAACAGCTACAGTCATTTACGATAAGCATAGACAAGTCTGTCTGAATTCCACGATGACAGCTTATGTAATTCAAGACACCTTGACAATCAAATTCACAGGAATTTGCGGGCGAAGCAACTGCAATGTTTTTTAGTCCGCTGTCCAGCTTTGTTCTACGATCTCCCGTACCCTCCTGTTGTATTCACGCTTGTTCTCGCTGAACATTCTTGCTGCCTCAGAATTTGCAGGGGAGTTTGGGTTTGGGTCACAGAGAAGAGACTGAAAAAAGAAAAGGAAAGGAATCAAACACTCGGGTGAAGTGGTGAACATGTAACATAATTTCCAGAAATGAATGCTGCTCATCATTAGTTTATTGATATTTGACAGAAGTACAAGAGGGGACAAGGAATAACTCCGAAGTGCTATTAAGAAAATAATACTGAATAGTGAATATACACAAGTATGGTTCTCATAAAAAATTTATGTATTGAAGCTGTTTGTTGCTACGGTGACTACGTTAAATTTAGCCTATAGCCTATTATTGAACATGCCATCTGATACTTGTAACTTTAGTAAAGATTTCAAAGAGAAAAATATATTGTAAATCGTTACAGAGTGTAGGT